AAGTGCTTTCATATATGCTTTTCATTGAAGTCTTTATTAACCTTCTGTGATGATGGTCATTAATACTTTTATTATGAGGATAACGACTCCAAGGCTAAGGTTTGTTAAGGGACTTTCATTTAGTAGAGACAGTATCTCCACACCTTCTCCTTCCCCCAATCTTGCATTTGTCTTAGAAGATTTTGTTGTTCTTGTGTAGTCACGGTTTTGAAAACAGGCAAACAGTATGGAAAGATGTAACTTGAAATGTACCCCTCATCCTCTCTGAACCCACTGGCATCTCCTAGTTCTATTCCTCAGATAAAATCACAACTATGCTTCTTTTAAAAATCCCCCCAACTTTTATATGTGTGTATACATGTGTACACTCGAGTGTGTGTGTGTGTGTGTGTGTGTGTGTGTGTGTGTGTGTGTGTGTAAGCCTATATGTGTGTATTAGTCACCAAATGACTTCATACTATCCATGTTTTACAGGTTGCTTTATTTTCACCTAGTATATCTTGGATACTTAAATAAGGGTCTTAAAAAGAAATACATGCTATTGAATGTTAGGGATATGTTTGCTTATATTTAAAGTATATTTTCATTTTTATTTAAGATTCTTTTATTTATTAAATGTTTATTTGAGAAACTATAAAAGGATTGCAATAAGAATTAGCAAGACATGTACATCTACAGAATGTGCACAATATATTATGTTTAGTATTTTACCTGACATATGAAGAGTGTTTTCTGTTATTGAAATAAATTTTAAATAGGTATTTTAAAAAATACAGTAGAAATATACTAGCTAATTAGTACTTGTCAGATAACAGAGGATGTTAATAATGGTATGTCAGGGTTTTCTCCCTTTTAAAAGATAATGGTGAAAAGACTCAGGTCACATTTACTTTAAATTCTTTCTGAATTTAAAATTCGTGAATGCTGATCACTTTAGGGTCTATTATGTCTATTTGTTTTAAAGGTTGTAGAATCAAGGTTAAAGATTGTTGCAACCCAAAGATAAAAACATCTTGCTTAAAGGAGTGGAATTTTTCTAATTTGATTCTTAGACTGTTTTTCTTTGCCACTTGCTTGTTCCCTTAAGACTAACATTGTTTTTGAATACAGCAATAGTGTTAAAACACTACAATTTATTTTAACAAGATTTTAATCCTTGCTTTGGTAGACTAATGATTCATTTTGCAGAAATACACATGCTGTAATTGCAATGCTCCATATGAGGGATTTTTTTCAGCTTTCATTTTTTAAATTAGGATATAAAATATGAGGAAAGACTTTCCAAAGTATTCTGAAAGTTTTTTTTAAAAAGTTTTATCACAAAACTGTCAAAATTTTGGACATTTCTAATACATTTTTTCCCATCTCTATAAGATTTAGTTTTGAAAGACAAGGTAGATGGAGTGGTGCCCATCAGGAGATCTGCATTCTTGTCTTGATCCGCAGCTAATTAGCTGAATGTGACCTTAGACCATTCATCTATTCTCTCTGCCCCTTGTTTTCTTATCTAAAAATGAAAGTTTTTACTACATGATCTCTAAGGTCCTTTTTAGTTCTAAAACACTAAGATTTATTAAGTAAGTTTTATAGTAGTTGTATAATTTATTTTCTTAAAGATTTATGAAGATATATTATCTACATATATATGTGAGTATTCATATCATTGATTGTTTATTTAGTTGTACAAACATTTGCTGAATTTTTTTGAGAAGGCAAAATACTGGAGTGACTTACTGTAAGGTGTGTGGAGAGCAGATCATATAGTGCAGGTGTGTCCAACATGCAGCTCATGGACTGCTTGCGGCCCAGGGCTGCTAGTAATACAGCCCCAGAAAATCTGTAAACATCATGTTAAAACAAACTTTTCTGACATGTACCTTGAGAAATCTTATTATATATGTTCACTAATTATATTATGTAATTTATGTGCAGCCCAAGACATTTCCTCTTTACTTGAAGGCAAAAGGTTGGACATTCCTGATACAGTGATTTGTAGACCATTTAAAGATGTTGGTTTTTTAATGCAAACATTATTCACATAGATTACTTCCATTATGTTGTTGGTATACTCAATCCAGTAGATGCAAATGCTCATGAAATACATTTTTCTATTTTAAAGAAACATGTTCTTTCAATCACTACACTATCAGTGCCATCAGGTCTCTGGTTTCTCCCCACACCTCTCACTCTTTATCAGTATCTTAAAATACGATAACCTAAGAAGATTTGTAAGGTCAATATAAAAAAAATTATTTAATGCTTGTTAAAGTCAGATAAGTGTTTTTCTTTTTGGATTATCAGTTGCTTTATATATCAGTGTCCTTTTTCTGCTCAGTAAGTGTAACAACTTGAAATTTGTAAATCTATTAAAACTTAGCAAATTAACACATTCATCTTGTGTTGTGTATTTGTGTTATTTACCTTTTGATTTTACTTATTTTACCACTGATTATTTTCATTATCTTGTGTTCATCTGATTTAGAATGTGTTGGTCTAAGGTCACTTGAAAGCAAGATGTATTTTTCAATTTATAAAAGTGGTTTTTTCCCAGACGCATGTTTATTATATTCTTTTTGACATATAAATGTTTAATTTAGTAATTAATAAGCTCAGTAAAGTTGTAGTATGCTTGCAACTGTATTGCAAGACTATAACACATCACAACCAGGAGGTTGATGTTGACACAGTTAAGGTATAGAACATTTCTATAACCACAAATTTCCTTCATGTCCTTTTTTTTTTTTTTTTTTTTGAGTTGGAGTCTCACTCTGTCACCCAGACTGGAGTGCAGTGGCTGCTCCTGGCCACCGCAGCCTCGACCTGCTGGGCTCTGGGGATCCTTCCGCCTCAGCCTTCCAAGTAGCTGGAACTACAGGTGCGTGCTACCACGCCCGGCTCATTTTTGATTTATTGTGGAGATGAGGTCTCGCCGAGTTGCCCAGGCGGGTCTCGAACCCGCGGGCTCAGGCAATCCACTTACCTCAACCTCCCAAAGACGCGGGATTATAGGCTGAGCCACCGAGCCCAACATCCTTCATGTCCTTGTAAAGGTACACCACTTCCCTCCTGTGATACTCTCTTTAATCCCTGGTAGCCACTAATCCATTCTCCATTTCTGTATTTCAAAAATGTTACAAAAATGGATTGATTTCAAGAATATTATATAGGAATCATGCATTATGGAACCTTTTGGCTTTTGTTCACACAGCATAATTCTCTAGAGATCCTTTCAGCTCATTGCATGTATCGATAGTTTTCTCCTTTTCATTGTTCAGTGATACTCCATGTTCTTGATGTGTCAGTTTGTCACCCATTGAAGGGCATCTGGATTGTTTGCCTATTTTGCTATTGCAAATAAAGCTGCTATAAACATTTGCTTGTAAACTTTTTGTGTAAACATACAATTTCATACCTCTGGGATAAGTGCTCAGGTGTGTAATTGCTGCGATGTATGGCAATTGCCTGTTTAACTTTTTTACAACTGCCAAACTTTTCCAGAATGGCTATGCCATTTTACATTGCTATTACCAATGTATCATTCTTTCTTTCAACTTTGTAAAATATCATAGAGATGTATAAACTCTTCAGTGTGAAGGAAAGTTTTCCCCCATTTAACTATGAAGAGTTGCGGCTTATTTGACATTTTTGGCATAAACACAGTTATGTTTTCATTTTCAGTCTTATGTGAAGAAAAAAGTACAGAAATTTACAGAACTAAAATAACTGGTTAGGGCTAGAGGTTTTACAAAAGGCAACATTAAACTTTTTCTTTGGTTTACTGACAATTTGTTTATAAAGGGCCTAATTGTGCCATTTACTGTAAATACAAAGAATAAGATACAACCCCTGTCTTTGGGGTATTCAGTCTAGTTAATAAATCTGAATAGAGAATTCTGGGAATTGACACAAGGACCTTGTATATGCCAATCAGAAAGTAGTATTGAGGAAGACTTCTACTTGATAGAGTTTAAAGTTGTTGAAGGAGGATGACCTAAAACTCAGGCATTTTTTGAATTTTGAGATTAGAGAGCTAAAATTAGGGGAGTAAGACAATGAAAAGTATATGATGCAGCATTACAGAACTCTTTGGATGTTTCTGTTATAGGATTTGGAAAACAGGAAAAAAGAAATTTAAAAAAAGAGGAAGGAATAAATGGAGTGTGGCTTCTCATCACTGTTACAAACCTAAGTGGAAAGAAGATATCTCTGTTTCTAATAGTATATGAATGGGAATTTCTTATTTATGTGTTATATCATGGATTTATGTGCACATTTTTTTGGTAATGATGTGGAGTTTTTGCACTGACATACCATTATCAATTAGTCTTTTAACTTTGAGATTTAGTTTTATTAAAATTCCATTCTTAATATTAAGCTTTACTAAATAAGTAAAAAATTTTGGGTGATTTTTAGTGTTTTTGTGGTCCACGAAGTGGATATTATAGTCATCTATGGCTGTAGTGTGTCTGTAGTTATTGAAGGTCCTTTTGGAGAAAGTGGTGGTCTAAATCAGAAGTCCTCAGCTGTGGGCAGGACTAGTCCATGGCCTGTTAAGAACTGGTCCACACAACAGGCGGTGGGCAGCTAGTGAGCTGCACCTCCTGTCAGTTCAGTGGTGGCCTGCCCATTATTTTATTTACTACTTCCCTCTGTGCCTCTTTTTGTTTGTTTGTTTGTTTTTTAATGGTGAGTTGTATAATTATTATATTTTGCAATGTAATAATAATAGAAATAAAATGCACAATAAATGTTATGTGCTTGATTCATCCAGAAACCATTCCTCCCCCCCCATGGATGCTAAAAATGTTGGGACCCACTGGTCTAAATTATATGTTCAGTAAGCATGAAACAAGTTTAGGTTAACCAGTTTCCATTTTATAGAAGTAATTCTTGTTTTCAAAATAATGTAAGTACAAATTTATGAATAAAAATTTGTCAGCTACATTCCAAATTAAGATATTTTGATGATAGCTGATAAAAGACATTTTTTTCCTATATAGGGACACCGTTGCAGTGGCTGAATTTGTTTTGTCAGCTTCATCTACAAGCAGAGATGTTCAATCTTATGTATTTTTGAAAGCATTTGAAGACTTCAAATTTACTGTTTATGTAAGTTTGTAATTTTAGCCTTTAATTATATAGCAGTTATAATAAGCTGAAGCAGTGGATTGAAGTGGTATTTCTATAAACCTGTAAGTAAACGATTTATTCTGACTGAACTATTTTAGTTGAATATTTTAAGTTTAAAAAAAACAGAAGAATGACTCTAGATAGAAAAGGAAGATCCCCTTATAGAGATACTTATCAATGAAACTTACAAAACTGCACAGACATTCTAGACCTTATCCTATTCTTTATACCACCAGGCACTTCAGATACACAACTTAATTTTACTTTAAATTAAAGTACCTTTTTTTAGGTAACAGTGATTTCCTCCTATTTTATTCTTTGTGGAGATGATCATCCTCTCATTTTTTAACACTCCCCTCCCCCTTCTCACATGCATCCTTGAAAATTGCCCTTTTGGTTAAGGAAGTTGGGCCAAGCCATATGCCAGGAGGTCATTATTTGCCTGACTTTTTTCTAGCATGCACAGAGGCACTGTACAGGCTTGGGGTACCCCGGTTTGTTATTAAAATTAATGAATTAGGCTAGGGATGGGTGAGATTTGCAGTTAGAGTGATCACTATCGCATTTCTTTTTTTTTTTTTTTTTCTTAAGGAGTACAGGATTCTATGCAGGAAAAATTTTGGATATTAACGTTGATTTTCCACTGAAAATCTGTTAGACTGATAGAAATTTATTATTTTACATTCTATTCTGAGAAATGAGTATTGGTATACTTCAAATTTAGTCTCTAATAATACTTAATGTTTTAATGTACATTTCATTTGACTTAACATCTTAAATTTTTTTAATTTCTGTAGCTTAGACAACTTTACACATCGCTCTTAATTTGTAAGCCATAACTTTATGCCATTGTAGTGAATTTGAATATTATACAGTTAAGCGTGTATTTTTATTACAACTAAAGGCCTGTAAACATATTGGGGGGTGTTTGCATACAAATAAGCCCTTTCTTTTTCTTCTTCTTCTTCAGGTTTATGTTGAATCTCTGAGATTTTTCTACAGAGTCAATGTCTTTGGTAAGATGATATTCAGTTTAATTTAGAATATGTACACCTACACACACACACACACACACAAATAAATGTATATACATGATCCATCTATACTTTATCATCTGATTTTGAAACTATCAATACAATACAAAAACATAATCTTTAGTTTTTTATAACTGATAATGTTATAATGAAGTTATATATTTATGTAGTAATTAATACTTGAAATTATTGTCTGGAGTATCTACTATTTTGCGTGAGCTTCACATATACAAGAAAATCAAAATAAAAAAGTTTTTACTATATAATGACACTGAAATTATTGCTAATTTTAAGCCATAGGCAATTGTTTCTTGTTTTTTATCAGCTTGTATTTACACAGATTATTATGTGTTGAACAAATTATATAATTTTAAATAATTTTCTTATACTTGTGAGGCATTTCCCCCTCCTTTTTTTTTTTTACCATTTTATTCTACTTTTATAAACTTGTGTTATAGCATAATAATAGGAAGATTCCCACTTTTATGGGTGGGCTGCTTGTAGTTGAGTGAAACTGTAAAGAAGGTAATATGTTGATAAAGTTTAATATAATGTTTATGTAGTTTTGAATAGACATAATTCAGGGACTTTGTTTCTAGTTAACAATGACTACAGTACATATTTTAAATTCTGCATAGTATCAATAAATTTTTTTTGGAAAATTGTAATCAATAAGAGGGTTGATTTACTTTTAAAAATATGAATTAGGTCTGATATTAGTATTTTTCAAAATTGTTATAGATTTGTCAACTTTAAATATTTGATATATTTGTGAACATGTAAATAAGGTAGAAGTAAATGAAAAAGCCTCTGTGTTTGACAAAAATCATTTTTCACAGAGCCCAGGTATTCTAAGTTAAATCAATCAACCGTGTATTTATTTGACCTTATTTTTCTGACTCGCAGATGCTTATTTTACACATTTTCAAATTGAGCATGGATCTTACAATTGAAAAAAAAAAATTCTAGTTACTGTTGAGGTTTTTATTGTTTTTCTGAGAAAGTTTTGTTGTTTTCTTGAAAATGTTTTATTAAATGTCAAGTTTGTCTGAGGACCAGAGATGATTTTAGAATTTAGGACATAAGAGTATTTTGTTTTCTAGCAATGGCAGGGTTGTTCTTTCCAAGGACTTAGGGAAATCATGTGATCTTGTACTATCTTCAGGATTTATTTATTTATTTATTTTTTGAGTTGGAGTCTCACTCTGTCACCCAGACTGGAGTGCAGTAGCCGCTTCCAGCCACTGCAGCCTCGACCTGCTGGGCTCTGGTGATCCTTCCGCCTCAGCCTTCCAAGTGGCTGAAACTGCAGGTGCTCGCTACCACACCCGGCTAATTTTTGATTTATTGTAGAGATGAGGTCTCGCCAAGTTGCCCAGCCGGGTCTCGAACCCACAGGCTCAGGCAATCCACTCACCTCAGCCTCTCAAAGCGCTGGGATTACAGGCTGAGCCACCGAGCCCTGCTTATCTTCAGGATTTAAAAAGTTTTCACTGGCCTACTTACATGTTCTAGAGCTCTAACGTAAGTGATCCCTATATTTTATCCAGCCTAATCTTGTTATTATCTGTGACCAGTACACTGCAGCCATGCAGACTTCTTTCTGAATTTTCAAACATATCAACTGTGTTTTCTTTTCTTAAAGCACTGTTGCTTATCTCAAACCTACCTTCTGTACTTTCTTACTTGGTTCCTTCTTTAAATATTTTTACAACTTTCAGGACAACTGTGTTTAAGACACTGCTCTCCTTTTATGGTCTGTGTTTTCATTATTACTGGAGCTGCTTTGATTTATTTATATATACGTTATTTATATATTTTTATTAATTAATTACTTTATCTATCTATCTATCTATCTATCTATCTATCTATCTTTAGTTTTAGCTACCTGTATAATACATGGCCCATAACTGAATGAAGGAAGGAAAGGATAAAAGAATGTTTGAATTGAATTATGGTGCTAGGTGCCTTTTTCCCCCAGAGTTTCATTGTCTACTGTGTTTGATTTTTGTCCACCAGTTAACTTCTTGCATATGTTGTAAATTGCATCTCATTTAACCCAGTGCACACATTTTCTTGGCCAGTTTCATATGGGCTGCCTCTTAGCTATCAGAACAACAACAACAACAAAACTTTTTATATCTCTGTGTAATGTGGGACAAGTGATATACTTGCTGAACGGTTTTCGATAGTACTATCAAGTTACCTTTAGTGTATCATAAACACACTTTCTTATGAATGTTTAGGTCAGGTACTATGTAGACCTAGTATTGTAGCAGCTAGCCATATGTAGCTACTAAAAATTCAGTTCATGATTTTTAGTGGTCATATTTAAATTCCTTAATAACCACAGTGTTGATATTGGACACATCCATTATTACAGAAGGCTCTATTGGATAATGCTGTTCTAGATTATTTAGGAAGCAATAAAATGCCTCAGTAAACATTCCCATAAGATGTACTAGGTAGTGTAACTAGTCTAGGAGTTCTTAGGATGCTGTAAGGCTTATATGCCTATTGTCATCAATATTAGACACATACCTTTTGCATCGACCATGTGAAACTATTTTCAGATACATGATTATATATATAATGTTATGTCCTTTCTCTTGTATGTGCTGTTCCTTCTCCTTTTGTTACTTGTCCTTCAATATTTAAGTTTGTTACCACCTTCAGAAAGCCTTTTCTTACCATTCTTCTTAGCTAATCCCACTATATACACCTCCCTCCCCATGTCCCAAAACGCTTTTGTTTTTTTAGATCAAACTAATTTGGACACCCACTTTAACAGTCCTTTCTTATGGAATGTCATACTTTATTGTGTCAGGAGGGGAGACAAATTGGCTACTCTGGTAGAGCTCATTGTGAATCATTATGTAAGTTTGGTTACCATGTTCTCAAGTGTGGGCTTACTGAAGAGTACATTAACCAAACTTAGAATATCGAGGAAGCAAAAATGCCACTTTATTAATTTAAAATGAGGAATATAACTTAGCTGCTGCACAAATATATGCTGGCTGATTTACATGGAAAGCCAAAGTTGGAAGTTGTTTGTTGGTCATGAATTAACAAGTACAGTGACTTGGATGATATTGATGGTTAGTGTCATTGATTGTGCTGAATTTCCCATTTCATCTCTACATTAGGGAGGTACTTGTTGAGGTAGAATATTTGGTCCAGCTATTTTGTTGTCTGAGTTCGTATCTTTTGTCTACAGTTCAATATGCTTTTGTTCCATGATTTTTTTTTTAATTCCATTATTCTGTTTTGCCATCCTTTTTTCATCACTGATGAGCTACAGCTTTTTTTTTTGAGTTAGAGTCTCACTCTGTCACTCTGACTGGAGTGCAGTGGCATACTTAGGGCCACTGCAGCCTCGACCTGCAGGGCTCAGGTAATCCTTCTGCCTCAGCCTTCCAAGTAACTGGAACTACAGGCACACACGCTATCACACCCAGCTAATATTTTTGTTTATTGTAAAGGTGAAGTCTCACCAGGTTGCCCAGGCTGGTCTAGAACCCTTGAATTCAGGTCATCCTCTCCCCTCGGCCTCCAAAAGTTCTGGGATTACAGGTTTGAGCCACTGCACTTGGCAGCTTTCTTTTATGCTAAAGTTTGGTTAGATATCTGAATCCTGCTTTTATTGTATTTGACCTGAGGGATCATCTTCTTTGAAAAACTGATTAATTCATTTAATTTGAGTTTTACAATTTTTAATTCTTGGAGTGATAGGTAATCTTATTTCCAGTTGCGGTGGGGAAGGGCAGATGATGGGACCACTCAGCTGAAGCCTTTTAAGGATTTAGTATCTTAATATGCAACCTTGTAAGCCACTTTCCTTTTCTTTCCAAACAAATGTACAGTTATTTCAGAATAGAATCTTTCTGTTCTCTTATTACCATTTTAAAACTCTTTATATCATTTGTGAATAAAAACTTGACCTAAATTATGAATAAAAATTTAGGGCTAAGAAAAATCTTTATAACAATTTGGCAAGGGGGAGAGAAATTATACCATACATTTCAAAGTGACATTTGTTATGTTTAAAAACTAGGACAGGCCGGGCTCGGTGGCTCAGCCTGTAATCCTGCGCCTTTGGGAGGCTGAGGTGAGTGGATTGCCTGAGCCCGCAGGTTCGAGACCCGCCTGGGGCAGTGAGACCTCATCTCTTACAGTAAATCAAAAAATCA